TCGTCTGCCTCCCCACCCCCACCAATTCCTATGTACCCCTCTGGGACATCGGCACCGCTAGGCTTCAGCTCTGCCATGCCCTCCATGGACATAGGGCAGCAAGGCTGCATCAGAGCAACGGGATTTGGAAGGGGCCCTTGGTGCTCACATGCAAGCCACCGATTACTCAGAGGCATAATGGTTGCCACTGAGATGTGGCTGCCTAACTGCTGGACTACAAGGCCTCAGATGCACTGACTGGCTGGCACTGGGGAGGGAAGCAGTTCAACCAGAATGCCATTCCATTTTCTTGCAGCCATGCTGGAGAAGCTGGAGGAGCGGTTCAGCACACGGACGCTGTACTTTGTGGCATATTTGGCCTTTGGGCTGGGCACGGGCCTGGCCACCCTCTCCAGAAATGTCTATGTGGTGCTGTCACTGTGCGCTACCTACGGCATTCTATTCGCTACGCTCTGCACGTTGCCCTACTCCCTGCTCTGTGACTACTACCAGAGCCGTGAGGTGAGCCCTGGGCCAGGGAGGGGAGAGAAATTCCTGTGACACCCCCTTATACTGTGTCTGTGTCCCCCGCAGTTTGCAGGCTTGCAGGCAGAGGGCATGCGGCGCGGGATGGGCGTTGACATCTCCTTGCTGAGCTGCCAATACTTCCTGGCACAGATCCTCGTGGCTCTGGCCATGGGGCCACTGACAGCGGCTGTGGGCAGTGCCAGCAGTGCCATGTACTTCGCCAGCCTGGTGTCCTTCCTGGGCTGTCTCTTCTCTTCCCTCTGCGTCACCTATGAGCTGCTGCCCACCGAGGAGCTGCCACCTGCCGAGGAGCAGCGTCCACTCTTGCCCCATGCGCAGAATGAATAAATGGGAGAAGCTGCCACAGCCTCTGCTGCCTCATTGCATCACTGTCAGCCTTCCTATTGTGGCATAACAGGTTTGTGCACCCCTGGGATGGCAGCAGTGGGCATGGCAAATTGTGAGAAAGGTCTGCGTTGGCTTTGCTGAGCTTTCCCCTGCCTGTGGGAAGGTGAGGGGTGAGTCAGCAGCGCCTGCACTGCTGGTCCTTCCCCTGAGGTGGCAAAGGCCTGTCTGTGCCCCTGGGGCCACAGCAGCAGGAAGTGGTGGGACCATTCCCTCGAGCTGCCTCGTGGTGCTGTCATTCCCAGGGGAACCAGTGGTATTGTCCAAGCATGAGGCAGGAGGCCTAGAAGTCTGGTACCTGGGCAGGGCAGCCTCAGTCTCTCGAGTGGCAGAGAGCTGCTGGGCTGGGCTGCACACAGCGCTGCGTGTACTGCCACTGTGGGAACAGTGATCTGCCAGTCTGGTGGGCAGAAGGTGCCATCTCATGGCCAGGCAGAGCCCGATCCTCCATCGCCAAGGGAAGTGGTGATTCTTGTGAGGCTTTTGGGAGCTGTGGGTCCAACCTACAGCCTCTGCCTGTGGTAGGCTGGGCTCTGGAGGGTGCTTTCCAAAACTTTGGAAAGGCTGAGAGCAACTGGTCCTGCTTAGGTGGTGTAAGTACTCTGTGAAGTGCCACGGTTGGACTTCTGGTTGCACAGAGCTCCCACCAAGTGCTACGAGAAACCACTGTGGGCTGAAAGTGGCGTGGCCTGGCTCCCAAACCCTGCTCGTTAGGTCCTGGCTGTGGTCCTTGGTAATGTTTGCCAATATGTGCAGATTTCCTTCCACATTAGACTTTCAATTAAGGCTACAGGGGTTTGTGATGACCTAGCAGGAGGATGGACAGTTGTCCATAATTCAGCTGTGGGAAGAAGGGTCTTTTTCCATCAACCTCTCTTGGGTAGCAGCTTACTCTCAGAGCTAAATTGAGTATTTAAGAAAAATAATTTGTATGAAAGCCTTCATCACATCATCTTTGTTTATATAGTTTTACCTTGTGACATTTTAAAATCTGCATGGGGACCAGTGAGTAAGTGCTTGTCAGCTAGAACTGCATCTTCCATATCTCAGTAAAACTAGTAAAAGGGCTTTGGGTTTCATTATCTGCGATATTTCTTAATTACTCTGATTTTAGAAGGTGGTAAACTTGTAAAAGTTCTAGTTAAGGCCAGGAGTTAATTTTAAGTCAGAAATAAAATTAAAACTATTTCTAAAATCCCTATCAGTCTGCTTCCGTATTTGGGTAGGCAGCCAGTGTTTACCAAGGATGATGGACACTTTGATGTTTACATGTGCATGGCATCCCTGTAAAGGTTATTTTTGCTTATTTGGTCTTTAGATCTTGAATAAGGGTTGTCACGGGAGGGTCACTCCTTTTAAATGAGTTGTACTTAATTGTACACCTAAGCTTATTCTGATGCTTGATCTACGATGCCAAGATGAAATAATTAGTGTAATCCTTAGCTGTTGTGGTTTCCTATACTTCTGTGCTGAAAGCATAATACACAACTTGTAAGAACCCCTCCTTTTTTATCATCTGTTCCTCCTTTTTAAAAAATTTATTTTTTTTAGAATATTTTTAGAATTTTCATGTTACTCAGCATTGACTTAAATGGAGGAATACTATTAAGATTACGAAGTCAGGCGCTCAGAGGTAAAGGACTGTCATATTGATGAGTATATTCATCTTTAATTTCGTTTAGGCTTACGTACTGTCATATCTGCAGGAATATCTCTGATGTTCCATTTTCTTGATTATGGGACAGCTGTCTCCAAAAATGTTCAGAACAAAGCTGGAATAAAATAGCATGAGAAATTGTTGGTGCTTCTGATTTCTGACAATGTAAAGACTTGACTTTGAAAAATTTTTCTTTTCTTGTTGGTCTGCCTTGTCATCTTAATTTCTCTCCCTTCTCAAACATTTAAACTCAAAAATTATTTTATTTCTTTTTTTGGTCCCACTAGCTAATGTGGTATCAGGTCTTAAAATGTTTTTTTCCTCTTAAGTTTTGTAGCCTTTATTGCACTAAATGAATCGTGAGCACTTTCCTTTTCTAGGTAGCTGGAGCAGCAGATCACTTTGTTACAAGTGAAAATCTTCAAAATGTTCACAGAATTGATGAAATCAATGTATCTGATAATAATGTTTGTCTCCATTACCATCTGTAAATATTATGAACGATGTTTATATAGTTATAAAACTATTGCTATGCCTATATGCATTATCCGATAAAATATATATTACATTTTCTATTTTATGGGATATGGACTTTATTTTGCATATATATTAGTGTTACATACATAGTACTTTTAAGTTAACATCATTCTGTGTTAATTTGGGGCTTTGAGCAATATACTAGTGGTGTCTGGAAAAAAACCCAGGGCCTGTCACCATCAAGTAGAGTTGCACCAAATCCATAGAAATAACTTTAAAAAGTTATTACTTACTTATTCTCTTCGTCATACATTTTGTATTTTACAGAAATTGCTGTATACAATCCCTGTTGAACTGCGAGCTACAACGTGGTATCTAGCTTTTGGAATCCAAACACTTCAAATATTCTGTCTAAATCTGAAAATTTCTAATTAGAAAAAGAGATGCACAAGTTTGGGCAGGAAAATGATATGACGCTGTGCTGTTTTTCAGTGATGCCTAAAGGTTAACTCTGAATAAGTCCGTAACATTAAAGACTGCTTTACAGCAATTATTTGTGTACGCTCATAAAGGTATTTGTAACAGATGTACAGAAGAAGGGAAAATGGGGAGACTGACAGGGAAAACACCTTATCAGTTGTTGTCTCATGTCTGTAATGAAGCTAGCTGTAAGCATTTCAGCATGTGTCTGCAGTTCTGCTGTGTCTCTCAAAAAAAGACAACCTAATGATTTCAGAACTTCTGCTGTATCTTTGAATGGAAAAAATGAGTCTTCTCAAGAATCAAATAGAATAAAATTGTATGATTGTATATATATATAAAGAAAAGCTATATTGGGAACTATTCAAAAGAGTTTTCTAGTCAATTTATTTTCTAGAAATGAGTAGTTAGTCATCTTGTACTCTATAGGAGATACACTTTATTTTATTAAAAAAAGAATTTGTGTAAAAGGTAGCTTTCTTAATATTTGTTTTCCCTTCCTCAGACAGGGAGACAGTCTTAGGAGAGAGGAGAAACTTTTAGATACCATTACCGTAATAACACCCAATGAATTGCATTAAGTCCAATAAACATATTGAGAATTCTATGAGTACTGGGACTGAAATGCCAAGGGAGATCTCCAGCATCTGTTTAATTTATCTAAATAAACATTTTCCATACCTGGGGTTGTAAAGACATAATGATTCATTTAGCCCCTCTTTCCTGCAGGGAAGGTTTTTGTTGATGTTCACTAGAGAAATGGCTGCAGCACCTTTCCATTGGCTAGTCCTTTGCCCCAGACTGCTGCTTCTGTAGCAGGGTCAGTGGAGGGGAAGGTGCTGGTGAAAGCGGGCCTACATTTAGGTTGGCAAATTTCAGGCTGCAACACCCCAGACAACAGCAAAAGTTGTAGGTCAGCAGTGCTGGGACAGGCTAGAGTTGTGCCAAAATAAACCCCAAAGAAGCAGAAGGTGCATCTAAGGTAGGAGAGAGACTTTGGCAGGGGTTTTGACTCTCGGAAGAGAGTCAAATATGTGATGTAAGAGTAAGACTCATAGCTCAACTTCAGGCATGCCCCATCTCCCTTAAAATGAGACTGAAATCTTTCCGTTTTTCTCTCCGGAGAGGCCCAGAATATCTGGAGAAAGTAAACAGAAATACAGCTGCACTTCCATTTGCATTTTTCTGTGCCAGGCATCTCCTGAACTGTCCTGTTACAGTAAATCAGAGCCAGGAGTCAAAACATTTGACAAGTGGAGCAGGCAAATGGAAACTGGCAGTAGCCATGCCATTGCTGCAGAGAGAGAGATGCTAGAGCCAATGGCATGCTTTTAGAAAAAGCTGTATACGTCTCCTGGAACGGTTCTCTATGCGCATTAGAGTAGTAAAACCTCTTTTATCTCTGTGCACCAAATTTGGCCACAATAAACTTTGATTCAGAGCGGAGTCTCTAGAAAGCAGCAGATGCACAGTGTAGAGAGTGCAGATGACACTTTAATGTGGTCAGATACACTAACAGGGCAGGATGCTTCCTCAGGCCAGGGCCGGGCCTCTCGGCCGGCACGTCTCTTAGGGCCCGGCGCCGGTCCTGTCGGCAGGAGCAATGCCCACCTGCTGTTCTCGCTGTCGTCTCTGGCGCAGCCTCTCGGCGCCGGTCACCGTCATGGGATGGAGCGGCAGGAACCCCGCCAGACCTGCCAACAGAGGCGGTGAGACGCGGCCGCTCCCGGCCCTCCACCCCCCCGGCCCTCTGCCGCCAGACGCCCGCCCCAGGCCTACCCAGGAGTTTCTCGGCGGGCCGGGAGAGCTGCGCGCCGCAGCCCAGCCAGTAGCGCAGCCGCTCCAGGTTGAGCCCCGCCACCCTCTCGCCGTGGACGTTGGGCAGTGGGTCGAGGCAGCCGAGCTGCTCCAGGTACTTCCCGTCGCGGGCGCGCTTGCTGTGCGCTGCCACGATGCGGAAAAAAGGACGGTTGGCGCAGCCTCCGAGGGCGAAACGGATCACGACGTGCCCGCCGCGGTAGCCTTTCAGGAGGCGGCTCCCTGTGAAGAAAGCAAGGTGGTCACGGGCCGCACAGGACTGCCTGCCACGGGCCGCACAGGACTGCCTGCCACGGGCCGCGCAGGGGCCGCTCACGGCCTCGGGACTCACCGAGATGCACCATGACGCCCGCCCACTATTCGGCGCGGAGTGATGATGCAATAGGGGCCGACGGCCAAAATTCCATACGGACGGGGACACCTCCCAGAAGGAAGGTGCCCGCATCGCAAGCTCTTGCTCTCTGTGTAGTGCCGAGAGAGGCGCACCATCACCAACACCAACTTCTGCTTTCTATCTTCTTGTTCTTTCCACCTTATTTCTTATTCTTTCTCCCTTATTTCTTGTTAGGGTTAGGGTTCTGATTTGGGTTTAGGGTTAGGGTTATTTTTAGGCTTTTTTTCCGGGTTATTTTTAGGGTTAGGTTTATTTTTATTTGGTTTAGGGTTAGGGTTATTTTTTAGTTTTTTTTTTCAGATTTTTTTTTTTATTTTTAGTGTAAAGGGTTTTTTTTTGTTTGGAGGAGCGTTAAGGGCATTTTTAGGCTTTTTTAGCTCCTTCTGTGTGTGTTTAGAACCACCTCTAGTGCAGCCACGAGTGAGGTGGGAACTGACCCTCAGGAGGCTGGAAATGAGTCCCACAAACTGGTTGCAATGGGATGGATGGACTCTTCCCAAGTGTCTGAAAAGCTTTGCTTTAGTTTGGCTTTATAAATTGAAAACTGAAGTGATTGTCAAGGTGTTGGCCCTTGTTGTCCTGTGTCTTTGGTGAGGTGTTGACTCAGTACCTTTATTGGAGCTGCTGTTGGATGTCCCTAATTGACCTGTAAGGTCCTGGCTTTCTTCCCTTCTTCTCCGAGCTTCTCCATCCAGGAGATGGAATTCCAGTGCTACAGTATAGATGGCTCATGGTGCTCCCAAAAGGAGCCTTTCTTCCTTCAGGACAAGTTGTGGTGCCACTGGAGCTGCTGGGAGAAGCGGAGGGTCGGCAGTGACAGGCCTGGAATGCTGTTGCTGTGGCACAGACGCTGCTCCCTGGCAGGTTCTTGGGTTGGATTCCTTGGCTGCCACTTGGCAAGGCCTGGAAGGGCCTCAGTTGTGTAGGGAACGAAACACTGGATGGGAAAGCAAAGCAGGGGAGGTTCTGGTTTCGGAAAGGATCACTGCCTTCTCTTTCTGAAGGGACCGTGAGCTGGTTCAGCTGTGGCAAGAAGAACAAGTGGGCTATGAAGGTTTGGAGCAGTCTGGAAGGTTCCTCGTGCCCAAAGGATCCTGGCAAGTGCAGCCCTGGAGGAGTACGGAATAATGAAAAGTGCCTCAGTTCTCCTGAAGCTCAACTCCGTAAAACATTCACGAAGATAAAATTCCTCTGCAACGAGCTGTTGGGTCCCAAATACTCTTGGAGGGAGAGGCAGAAACTCCAACTGCTGCTGGGGCTGAACTGCTTGCAGTGACCAGGTAGGACTCGGCCCTGATGCCTGAGTGCTCTCCAGTCCCCCAGGATGGATCCCAACTGTCAGCCCCTGGCTCCATAACTTGAGGAGAGGGTGTTCCTGCAAGCCCAGCTGCTGTGTTGGTAGTCCTGTGTACACCTCTTGCCCTGGCCTGCTGTGAATGTATTTGTGTTGCAGCTCAATAATGTCCCAATCGAGTGGCGATTGTGCAATTTTGGTGTCAGTTCCTCTCCGTTCCTCTCCCCTCTTCGCCTTGCCCAGCGGCTGCATCACTGACTTGTGCTTAAATGAACTCTTGCCCTGCAGCAGTTCTCTGCTGCTCTCAGAGAGGGTGGAGCTGAGGCCCCTGAGCTAAGGTAAAAAGGATCCATCTGAGCCCGGCCCGTGCTCCCCCC